CCGTGGCCAGAAACAGGCTTGTAGCAACAACCCAACTACAGTCCCAACAAGTGGCCCACGGAAATAATGCTTGTTTTATCTGAACAGAAAAATAGACTACTCTGAGATGCGTGGACATCCTATGACGTAGTCGCGCATCAGATACTTCTAGAGCCAAAAAAATGGCAACAGAAAATGCAGAGGTAACTCTTATTTCTGGATGTAGCCAGGGCTGGTTTGGGCTGCCTGGGCTGAGGGATGGGAAAGCATTCAGATGCTGTCCTACAAGCAGTGGCAGGTGAGGAAACATCAGCTCAGGGCCGGACGATTTCCTTCGTCCGGCTGGGGTCTCAGGGGAGCCCTCTTCTTCCTTTTGCCCACTTTGGAGCTACAGAAAAAGTCCATTCCCGAAGGAGCGTGTCCTGGGGGGCTTTTTGCCTTGCCCTCCTTTGATTCCAAGTTTCTTGCCTTGAGGCTGAAAAGCCTGGGGTTATGTTGCTTGAGACTAGTTGGCAGAGAAATGAGGAGAGGAGAGAGATAGAGACCTGGCTTTAGTGGCCCTTGTCCGTGGACTAGACACTCCAGCCGTGACTGGAGCGAGACAGAAATATACAATAGTTACAAATATCAACAACACATTACAGTTTTACAGAAGAGAATACTGTTTTGTTTTTCTCCATAGAAACATGGATCTTATTACTAGGAGAAAGGGCAGCTACAGTTACCAAGACACAGTGGAGGAGAAGTTGGGAGTCAGTTTGCAAAAGTTCGTGTCACCAGCCGTGCTCGGGGGCAAGCTGGGGGAGCTGAAAGGAAATGACCTTCTCAGGATTTTGCCGTGTCCCCTTCTTACTCTTCTTCTTCATTCTTCATCCCCAATTCTTTTGAGAAAGGGACTTCACAGGAACAAACATTCTCTCCTCTTTTTTCTTCCCCTTTAAAGTGTGCTTAAGATAGAATTCCTAAAGAAGGCACTGCGAAATCTACTGCACCAAAGTCCTGTTGTTTTCTTTTGCCCAAAGATAAAGAGGTGAATACACTCTCTCCTGCAAAGCTTGCCCAGCTCGCCCGCCGCTGGTTGCAGACTCTGGCCCGTGTGATCGGGACACGTAGCTACCTGGTCCCTAGCCCTTTCTGATAGTGGTGGAAGTTGGAACTCAAGTTCAGCTGGGTTCTTGATGAGTTTCCTTGAATTCGCCAAAGCGGCCAGCGTCCATTCACCTCCAGCCCCTCCTCGTATCATTTGTTTGAGTGGATTTGTTTCTTTCTGCTTCTGCTGGCCGAGGAATGGGTGGGAAATGAACCACCAAGTCAAAGCAGTATTTGCCTCCAAACCAGTGCTTTCCTCTTCTCTTTCAAGTTCGCTCCTCAGTGGAGACGCGTGGGTAGATTTCCCAGTGCGTGTACATACATGTACGTAGGTACAGGTTGGATATATACATATTACAAACCTGGGTATGTTCCCTTTTGGTGGATGGGGGCTGGGAAAACGTAACAATATTCTATTTTGAATTGAGCACAGGGTAAAAGCTACATTCCCACAATACATACACGCATAAGTAAAAGGAAAAAAAAAAACCAAAGAAACAAAACAAAACCAAAACGGAATACTTTCTAAGCATAGTATATGCTGAATTTCAATTATTCTGTTTCTATAAGAACTCTATAGGACTCTGGCTATTAAGCCTGAAAAGGTAGGTTCTTAATGATACTTCTGAATTCATCCTTCAAAAGTGACTCAATAAAATGCTACTTTAAGGTCAGACAAAGTACACAAGGAAGGAAGGGCCAGGTCCTACATGACCACACAAGGCAGAAAGGGCCTTTGGTTACAAGGAGAGTTGCACCAATTGGTTATTAGTTTTTTAATAAAAAGAAAGAATTTCCAATCTGTACACTTCTCATCTGCTTCGACCAACCAATGAAATGCCTCAATTTGAAGAAGGGGTGGTAAGTTCCTTCTCACTATGTATGGCTATATTTAAACATATTCACTTTCCTGATATGTAAAATAGACTATATTATTATCATTATTAATTTTTACAGATAGCGTCAGCTCTAAAAATATCTGAATCAGAAATCACAACTATTTACTTTTATCAAAAAGCATTTGTTTGTTTTCCCTGAATTTTCACATTTGTGCTGATGGCGGACACTGATGGTGATGAAAACAAGAGATACACGAGACGGCCGGCGGGGAACCGTTCCACAGTCGCTGCTCAAGAGGCCCCCAACCCAGACTGTGCGCTCAGAAAAGTGTTTTGCTCCCTCGGGTGTGCCAACCGGCACAGATGGATCGCACACTCTCCATGCCCTGAGTCCCTTTGCATTTGTTGTGCGGGTATCTGAAGATACCTAAGAACAGGACTGAACCCTCCTGGGGGATCCACAGTCCCTGGAGATGCTGAGGAGTGGTATGAACTGGATTTGTATACAGTAGAGAACAAGCATTTTTAATGGTGGTAGAATGACCCCATGTCATCATACCTGTGACAGGTGGCCCAATCTCATGCCATTATACAGAGGGCAGGCAGAACAACTCCATGATATTTGTGTACTGACCGGTGGATCATGCCGTTGTACTAATAGGCAGACCAGCAACAGATTATATTAAGAGCAGGTGAACCAACACTATGTCCTTGTTCCATCGGGAAGACAAATGCCTGTTACCGTATTGAGGATAGGCAGACCTACACTATTGTACTTGGGACATCATCCATCAACATTATAAAGAGACCAACATTGTTCCATTGTGCTACAGACAAGCAGACCAATAACACGTTATCTTTACTGACAGATGAGCCGACACCATAGCCTTGTATCAATCAGTGGTTCAACCCAATGTCACTGTACTGAGGAATTGCCAACAACACCATGCTGTTGGACTGAAAGCAGGCAGGACAGTGCCAGCTCATCAAACTAGGACAGGAAGACCAACGCCAAGAAAGACATCAGAACTGTTCAGGATGCACACACGTACTTATTGCTTTTGTCTGTACCGGCTGCACTGATGGCTGCAGGAAGGAGAGTTGAGCTTTTCGTACAGACAGTGACACTGAAAACACACCAATGGCTGGTTGACAAGAAAGGGAACAGAGTAAGACACCCAATGTCCAACTGTCACTGTGTCCTTCTGAGATGCGCATGTCTCCTGTACACTTGACTTTATGAGAGGCCCCACCCGAGGGCCAAGAACCCCTCCTGACCCATGAGGGTTAAGGGGATGCTTCAGAGGGACAGGAAAGGAGCCCAAAGACTTTTATATGGCAGACAGTGATGCCAGCACAATGTCACCCGCCGTGGCCAGAAACAGGCTTGTAGCAACAACCCAACTACAGTCCCAACAAGTGGCCCACGGAAATAATGCTTGTTTTAAAGTGCAAGATGTTGACACTGTCCCTGGTAGAACCTATTTTTGAAAAACATAAAGTGCTTTTTATTTTAATTTTTTTAGCTTGAAAATCACAGGAAACAAAGAAGAATTTCTATTATAGTAGGCGCTTTCCCTGCCATGGCAGGAAGTATTCAAAGTCTGAACTGGGCATTTCAATTATGGGTATTCTTTTCCTTTCATTTTTGCAGGTAAAAAAAAAAATCAGATTTTTATGCTGTTCTTTAGGAACACACGGTCTCTTAGAATAAGCTATTTCTTTTGCATATTTGACACTTGCATATCTTTTGAGTCTACACTGATGATATACAGGAAGTGTTTTCCTCCTACAACCCTAAAGCAACACTCCGAGTTCATACTGTTGGCTGAGTGCCCGCCTTCTGACCCCTTCCCAGATCGCCAGGGGGCAATTAGAATTGAGTACAAGTGGTGCAACTCACCTACGATATCTCAAAATATAAAATCTCAGGTACTATGGAACACCGAAGTCAATGAAGACATTTGAGTAAGAGTTTTGCGCTGGGATCGTTGCTTATGGCGCAGAGATCTCCCCATGACACAAGCATTCCCTGTAGCCTTCTAACTGTGGGATCCATCCAGGAGGTGACGGACAGGTGTTCCTAGAGGTGGCCGGGCAACACCCAATACCAAACTGGTCAACCCACTCTTTCGACACCAGCCACTTGCTCCAGTATCCTTCTCCAGCTGAAGTCAGGAGGGATGGAAATGCTGCCCTCGAAGAGAAGGTTGGGGAGTAGGTGGCCTCGGTTACGTCCAGAATGGTGGTAGTGGTGGCTGTGAGTTCTGCTCATGTCATCTCCCAAAGAGGGCAATGGAATTGTTACAAGGAGGCGCTGTACCCTACGGCTTGGCCAACTTCATGCTGATGAACCTGTCATGGCTCTCAAGGTCTTAGGGAGCCTTCTCTGGAGTCTCTCTTCTTTCTGGGGGCTTTGCAGGCCTTTCTGTTTCAGAGTTCATGAAGAAAAGCTCTGTGGCTTTTCTGAACAGCCCTCCTCTTTGGATCTTGCCCCAAAGTCTCTCCTCCGTGGCGGGGCCGTTCAGAGGCCCTGATCCTGTGTGCTGCCGTGGGCTCCTGCCCCCGGCAACACGCGGACGTCGGGGGAGATGTGGTTCTCAAGTTTGCACTTTTCCTGACCACTGGGGCCTTTTCCAGTCAATGCCTCTGTAGAGTAAATACAGTTCTGCCTTAGGAACTTAGGGGAGGTGGGCAAGGGGGAGCTTTCGAAGTGGTTCTTGTCTGATCTTGTCCCGACACTGAACTTGGGGCTGGCGCTCCCATGGAGGCTTTTGGGAGGGCTGGAGTCCACGCTGTAGAGCAGCTGCCCCTCCTCATCTGTGTCGGCGTCAATGTACTGGTGGATTCCCGCCTCAAAGCCGAATGCTATTGCTGTGTGTTTCTCGGGTGACCGGGGGGGTGTCCTAGCACTTGCTGTAGTGTAGATGGAGGACTCGGGGCTCAGCACAGGCTTGTCCAGGAGTGTGGCACACTCCAGTCCAGCGACAGCAGCTGTAGCACCCCCCCGGTTCCTAAGAGGGTCATGGTACATCCCCAGAGTGGGGAGTAATGGACTGGGGTCACCCTCCATGAAGTTGACTTTAAGTGCTCGGAGCTTCAAGGGGTTGTTGGTCTTCATGGAACTCTTGGGGCTCTCGATGAAGAAACTAGAGTGATGGCTGGCATCGGGGCTGGGGTTGGCCTCTATGAACCTACCACCACTGGCACCCAGAGCTCCCCGCCAACCCATCTCTGGGGCCATGCTGCCCCCAGTCTTGCTGGGGAGTGATGTTAAAGGGCTGTGGGAGAATCTGGTGGCTTCAGGGAAGTCTGTGGCACAACTAATGAAGCTATCAATGCTCGACATACTTCGCATGTCAATGACCCCCTCTGTGCGAGTGGGCAGAGGGGCTACAGGGCTGGGGATACTCTCCATTTCAAGTTCTTCCTTTGGTTTGCTCTGTGTTGCTGACTCCTTGGTGTTGAGGATGGGTTGGGACTGGGTCTTGGCCATCTTATTGTACATGTCTTCCAATTGCTGAACGTTCAGGTGCTGAGGACTAGAAGATGATCTGGCCTTCTCAGGGGATCCCTGCTCCTTGGTTTCAAAGGACTTACTTGAGCTGGTTTCGGACAGTGTTCTCTTTGTCCATTTCCACTTGTTGGGGGACAAGTGGTTATCTTGCACTTTGTCCTTCTTACTCACACTCTCCCCATTTTTCTCAACCACGATGTCCATCATCTCGATGCTCCGGGCGAAAGCATCCTTCATGTTCATGGACACGATGCTGCCATTCCGCTTGGCTCTCTCCAGAGCCTCCCTCCGCTTGATTGCTTTCTCCTGCCTCTTCTGCTCCTTGTAGAACTCAGAGAAGTTATTGACGATGATGGGGATGGGAAGAGCAATCACCAGGACCCCCGCGATGCAGCAGAGCCCCCCAACAATTTTCCCCAGGAGAGTTTTGGGGTAGATGTCTCCATACCCAACGGTTGTCATGGTGATGGTGGCCCACCAGAAAGAGGCCGGGATGCTTTTGAACTTGGTGTCATCCTCATCCTTCTCGGCAAAGAAGACAAGGCTGGAGAAGATCATGATGCCCATGGCGAGGAAGAGGATGAGCAAGCCCAGCTCGTTGTAGCTCCTCCGCAGAGTGAAGCCCAAAGACTGGAGGCCAGTGGAGTGGCGCGCAAGCTTAAGGATTCGGAGGATACGCATGATGCGGAAGATCTGGACCACCCGGCGGACGTTCTGGAACTGCAGCACGCTCTTGTTGGATTCGGTGAGGAAGATGGTGACGTAGTATGGCAGGATGGCCAACAAGTCAATGGCGTTGAGCGGGCCCTTGAAGAACTTCCACTTCTTGGGCGAGGAGAGGAACCGCAGCAGGTATTCCATGGTGAACCACGCAATGCACACGGCCTCCACGTGGGCCAGCTGCGGATTGTCTGTGGTCTGGCCGAACTCATCGAGGCTCTGCAGCTCGGGCAGTGTGTTGAGGGACAGGGCAATAGTGGAGAGGACGATGAACATGATGGAAATTATGGCGAGGATCTGTGAGAAGAAGAGAGTGGGATTTAGTAATCAACCACCAATGGGATGATCATCATAGTACCCTGTGTCTACAGGGCATGTCTCAATGTTTGGGAGCGTTTTCACATCTCACTAGTCACTTAATGACTTAATGTTTGAGCTAAAAAGATAATTTATCCGAACCCATTTATTGCCTGGGTGTGGAAACTGGGGCCCAGGGAATTAAAACGATTTAAAGCTAATCGGCAAGCCCAGGGTCAGCAAACTTACAGAGGGCCAGAAAGAAGCTACTTTAGGCTTTGAGGCCCACGCACCCTCTGTTGTCACTACCTGACTCTGCATTGGGAGCATGAAAGCAACCTTGGAGAATACAGGAACAAATGGGCATAGCTGTATCTCAATAAAACTTTATTTACAAAAACAGGCAGTGGGCTAAATTTGACCTGCAGGCCATGGTTTGCTGATTCAGGATCTAAACCAGTGGTTCATACTGTTATGGGATGGGGTGCTACTTTCACAACAATGATACTAATAATAACAATAGCTACCTGTCAAGAAGAGGGCTTGGCCTCCAGAAAGGGCTCAGTGGATATTTGTTGAAATTAATGGAATCTAGGCCAATCTCAGACTATGCAGAAAAGCAGGTGGATGTAATAAATTGCTCTGAGGGTCTTTTTTTCAAAAAATACAAATCCAATCACAGTACTCCTCTGCTTAATAAATCTCCAGGACTCCTCAGGACTAGATGAAAATCCCTAAACACTCCGTACACCTGTCTTTGTTTTGGAGACTTGCCCTTCCTCTTCCCGTGCCCCTGCTGAAGGGGATGGGGGGACTGGTCACTGTGTTTGTACCATCCGATCCTGGCTGCCGCTGATCGGCCCATGGCTGGACAGAAAATCCAGGCTGAGCCAATCTGTATGCTGGGCTCAGCCAATCCACCCTTGAGAATCTGAGCTCAGGGATCCGGGAGGCAAGTGGGTTACGGAAGGGTGAGCCCCTGAATTAAACGGTCAAGGAGAATCTGGGCTTGAACCAGCTCCATGATAAGCCCAAGCCCCAACCAAGTGTCTCCCAAGTTGCAGGGGACAGAGATGCCATAAAAAACATCAGAAAGCTGAACCTCCGAGAGAAGCCAGAGAATGAAGGGAAGAGGCAAAGGGCAGGTGCGGTGAGCACACAGGAGGGTCCTAAGAGGGTGCACAGGGCGTCAGCCTGCTTTGGATTCAAGCCCCAGCTGGGCCACTTCCTTACTGTGAGCAAGTTAGTTAACCTCCCTAAGCCTCACTTTCCTTATCTGCAAAATGGGGTGATAACAACAGTATCTACTTCAGAGAAGTGCTGCAAAGATTAAATGTGTTAACACATGCCAAGTGCTTAGGACAGATTCCAGCAGCAGTGAGTGTCTAATAGATGCCAGCCACCATCACAGGGAAAATATCGCAGCCCACACCACCCTGTCAGCCCAGACCACCCAGCCTCAGGGTGACCCAGTTGGACTTTGCTTCCTGCCCTTGTCTGAGACTGCTGCTGTACCCTGTAAGTAAAGCCAGTTGCCACATGGGTGAGGGCGGCGTTTCTGGCACCTGCGATGTCCCTAGGAAAGACACATCATTGTTGAGTCCCTCTCACTTTGACTCTGACCCCTCTCTCTGGCCTTTCCTGCCACAGGTTCCCGAACTTCATACTTCTCTAACCACACGCTATGGTTGGTCAACTCTGCACGTCAGAGCCTCTTTCTGTCTGTCGGTGAATTCCAATCCATCTTTTAAAATCCAGCCCAAGTGGCTCCTTCCCCTGAACTGTCCCTGCTTTCCCCAGGCAGGGCTGGCTGCTCCACGCTCGGGGCTCCCTCATCATTCTGCCATACCTTGGGGATACTTACCACATGCATCCCATTATGGGTGCACATGCGTGCATGTGGATATGTGAGTGTGTGTGTGTGTGTGTGTACACGCCAATATTTGCCCAGAATCTGTAAGCATTGTGGAGACAGGGGTCAGTTCTGAGGTTTATCTGTGCACCCCCAGCACCTCGCCCAGGGTGTGACACCTGACAGGGGCTCCCAGTGTTTGATGGCTATTGAGCAAGTTCACGGAGCTATAATTGGAAGGGCCAGAACCAGAATTCACTTTTCAATTTGGCAAATATTTATCGATCATCTACTATGTGTGAGGCACTTTGCATGACACAGGGGATACCACAGGTTGCAAGAGACTCTGGTGCCTTTATAGGCCAGCTGTGAAGATAAAAGGGAGGGTTGCATGGTGGTTTCCCCAACCTCAGTTGCTCTACCGGCTTCTTGATTTTTTTGTGATAGTCATATCTGACACAGATAAAAAATAGCTTTTGAGTCTTAGTTTCTTGATTTGTACTCATTGGAAAAAAATTCCGTAAACACTTTCTAAAATGAAATATTTGACATGTACAAAAGTAGACCTACCTTATATATAATTTATGAACTATAATCAAGTGAATACCTGTGAACCCACCACCCAAATCCAAGAATGAAGTGGGTGGCAGTACACTGATACTTCCTGAGTATTCTTCCCACTCCAGATAAAAGCTTTGTGTGGATTTTTTTTATCCCTTCGTTTCTGTATAGTTTTCAATACAAATATACCTGTCCCTAAAGAAACTTGTTTTGTTTTGCTCGGTTTTGACATCATACTGTATATATTCTTCTGCTACTTGTCCCACTCTTTCCTTACTGGTTAAAACAAAAACCAAAAAAGTCCACTCACCTTATTTTAGCCTTATCCTAAGAAATAATACACAAAACTCCTGATTTTTTGTGCCAGGCTATTCCAAATAGATACGTGATTATTGGACTAAAACACTGTGGCAGCATGCTTTTGGGGGCTCCCGTGTTGAGGCTAGGAGTGTGCTTCCTGGAGCTGGAATCCCAGCTCTGCCATGCACTGGCTGAGTGGCCTTGGGCATCGAAACTTCCCTTGCCTCAGTTTCCTTATTTGTAAAATGAAGATATACCAGTGGCGTTTAATGGGATGATTTTGACCCCTGGGGACACTTGGCAATTTCTGCAGAAATTTTTGGTCATTATGACTTGAGGGAGCGGTGCTCCTGGCATCCAGCGCATGGAGGTCACAGATGCTGCTAAACCTCCCACAGTGCACAGGACAGACCCCCAAAGCACTGAATTGTCCCCTCCAAAACGTCAATAGTACCAATGCCGAAAAAATCTGGGATATGCCAACAGTCAGCCCCTCACTAGTTGGGGAGCGGGGGACACACAGTAGGGCAGATCTTACAGGGCAGCCCGCGGGCCTTAGGCTGAGTCTTGCCGGAAGCTGCGCCGGTCTCATTACAAGGAGTCTGTTTCTTTAAGAGCTGGGACATCCTGTTTCCCCCAGAGGCTGGCAGGGGAAGCCTGCTCCAGCTTCTAACCCCCAGACAACTCCAGGGAAGGCCCACATAATTGATGTTCTGCTGACAGACGCATGAATTATGCACCCAGCTATTGTACGGTTCTTGGTGCCTGTTATTCTAAGGCAGGCACCCGCTTTGTACCTGAGAATGTGCCCTCCCCTCCCCTCCCCTCAGCCCGAGGATGCCCAGGAAAGGAGAAAAGGGGAGCAGGGGCCCCACTGGATCCTGGGGGAGGTGTCTGCTGCTTGGGGTTGGGTTGGGAGGGCCTCCATCTCCTTGCACCAAATGGCATGTGTGGTAATACAGCACTGGGGGGTCTCCCCTACCCCACCCCTCCTGGCCCTGCCTACAAGAATATTTTTCCTTCCAGATCCACTGAAGCCCATACCCTCAGGGCCACGCTTCCAGCCTGGGAAATTTCCTAACGTGAACTAAACCCTCTGTGCCTCAGTTTCCCCATCTATAAGACGGGGGATCATTGCAAGACTGAGAATTCAATGAGTTCATAAGGCCCTTAATTCGTGGCACAGTAACTCTTCACTCTTATTGTTTTCATTATTCCACAGTTTTACATTTATTTATAAGCTGGTTTTGAACTTGGGTTGAATCCAGTGCTATTATTTCCTAGCTACGTGGCCTTGGACAAGTCACTTCCCTTCTCCGAGCCACCATTTCCTTTTCTCTAAAATGGAGACAAAGCTGGGTGTGGTGGCTCCCGGCACTTTGGGAGGCCAAGGCGGGAGGATCACTTAAGGCCAGGAGTTTGAGACTAGCTTGAACAACATAGCGAGACCCCATCTTTACAAAAAATAAAAATTTAAAACATCAAAACAAAATGGAGATGAAAGTAATTGAGCACTTACCACATAACAGCCACTTAATATATATTGTTACTAAATTATCAGTTGGGTAATTTAGTGTCAACTCCACTACCTGTGCCTAGACTAGCTGCTTCTGGAAGGCCAGGGCTAGGTCTTGGACCCCCTGTGACTCGCTAAGGCAGCAGGCATCCTCTAAACAGCTCTTGAGCCCAGATGGACAGTGTCGATCAGGTCTCTGGGACAGGCCCCAGGAGTGGGGGATGAGCCACCACCCGGGAGCCCTCCTGGCCCTAGCTGAGGCCGCGATGGGGCCTCTGCTTTTCTGGGATCTGAGCCCAGTTGGGTTTGGGCAGAACTCCAGGAACCCAGGGAGCAGAGGAGGGAGCCAGTGCCAGGAACTCAGAGGCTGTCCCCGAATTCCCTCCCTGCAAGGGGGCTCTAGATCCTGGAGCCCACCTGTGTGCACCAAATGGGAGAGGGGGCTTTGGTCCTCTGGGGGAGGAGATCGGCAGGTGGGTCCCCAGGGTGGAATTCAGGTGTGCTGTAGCCAGGCCTCCCTCGTCCTAACTGCCAGCTTTGGTGGTAGATCACCACCAGGTGATCCCCGCAGACTGTTTGTCATGGCCTCTGCACACCTGCCGCTCTTCCAGGAACGTGGACAAGGCACAGAACGTCTGTGCAGGAAAGTGCTCGAGCTCCTCTCTGAAAGACGTGCAGATTCGAGCAGAGAAGGGAAGTGACTGGCCCATGTCACACAGTCCATTGTGGTGAAGGCTCTGCAGTAATCCTCGAAGCTTAGTCAAGCTGCAA